TGTGCGTAAAGATCTAGTGTCCCTGAGGTGGACCTCAAAATACTTAAAATGCATAAATGATCTTTCATCTTGTTTATACAAGTGTTACTACATAAAAACCAACTTTAAAGTTTTTTTTCCCTTAAGATATCCTGGTTTTGGTGAAATAGGTCTTTTATGAATCTGCATACTATAGAAGTTGCATGTGGATGTTTAGTTTCTTTTATGTTACATAGGCAGATGAAGAAATTAGACTCTGCTACCTGTTTGATATTTTAGTAGTGGCCAATATGAAGTGTATTATACTGTAATACATTAACTTTTTAAAATCTTGTATTTCTCTATATTGATCTATGAGAATTTAGTAGTATAAATACTCAGGATACCCATCAAGAGCAAGATAATATAGCAATGCTTATAACCAAAAATGTGTCAGTAAAACATTGGAAATTTCTGATAAACAGTCAAGTGCATAGAGAAATAGAAATGCATAAAGGAAGATTATTTTCAAGAGAAAATTTATGTTGACTCTACTTGTTTCTTTAGAATTCTCCAAGTCCCTGCTGCTTATGTTCCTATTGATCCAGATTCACCACCATCATTATGTACTCATTTTATGAAAAAATGTAATCTAAAGCATATCCTTGTTGAAAAAAACCAAATTAATGTAAGTCTGGGTATTTAAATTGGGTTTTGTGTGTATTACATTTATCTTTCAATTGAAAGGTTCTCTCCTGCCCCCATCTTGATGTCTAAATTTGCTAAATCTGGGAGTGTTTCTCAGTCTCAGTACTACTGACATTTGGGGTTGAGTAATTGTTGCAAGGAGCGTCCTGTATGTTATAGGATGTTTAGCATTATCCTAGGCCTTCACTTACTGATGCCAGTAGCACCTCCTAGTTGTATCAACCAAAAACGTCTCCACACATTGCCAAATGTCCCCTTGAGTTACCCTCCACCCCCTATACTCCATTGAGAGCCACTACTCTGTGGCATAAACATATCTGTTAGCCTTATGATAATGTATTATGCATTGTTTTGAATTTCCTTTCTCTTTTCAAACTATTTCCTATGTTGGAAAATTTTTTAGTGCTTGAAACTTTTATTTTTGTATATGTATGGTGGTTATAGAGTCGATAGCGTTAAAGAATTATAATCAAGCTTACATTTTGAAAAAGAGATTGGCACTTAGAACACTCCTTTCTAGAAAATTAAAT